CACCGGGAGGAGGCCCCGAGGAAGACCCAGGACACGCTGGAGGGACTATGTCTCTCGGCTGGCCTGGGAACGCCTTGGAGTTCCCCCGGAGGAGCTGGAAGAAGTGGCTGGGGAGAGGGAGGTCTGGGCCTCCCTTCTGAAGCTGCTGCCCCCGCGACCCGACCCCGGATAGGCGGAAGAAAATGGATGGATGGATGGATGTTGGGAAATTAAATTGTTATATTTCAGTGTATCAATAGTTTTTTACACTCCTACTGGATACATGGACTTCTTTGCCTCAATAAAAACACTGACTTATACACAATTATTTATTTTATCCTAACCCAAGACAAATAATTATTTCATCGTTACAGGATTTTTAGGAGACGGGGGGAAATTAAACATAGATGGGTAGTTGTTTATAAAATTAATCTCTCATCAGATGATCTTATTACTTTTTAATGACCTTAAATTAAATTAGCAAAACTTATTTTTTATTACCTTGGACATCCTGTAGGCACACAACACAGCTCAGACCAAAACACATGATGCAGTGAGTGATGGGGAAGCAGCACATCAAACATGTATRGGTTTGAGAATGCACCCATGTATATTTTAGCAAATTTGCCTATTTATGCGGCTGCCATCATAGAGAAAGATTCACAGTGTTGTAAGGAACAGAGGTGAAGATTGAAAGCAATAGGGAGAAGGTTGAAAGCTAGAAAYAAACAGAAGCTGCAGGAAGACAAGAAAGAGAAAGGAAGAGTGGAGGTACTTGAAAGGAAATGACAGAGGATAAGAAGAGAAGGAAGACAAAGAGAGGAGGAGTGACCTTGGATGCTAAATCATGCTACATGGTTACTGCTCAGGCTAATGGAGATGTAGTACAGTGACAGAAACAGAGAGGCTCTGAGGTCAGGAGCCCCAAACACATCGCCAGAGGATCTGAAAGCAACAAGAGCTGACTGCCTCTAAAAACACATGGAGGTTAAAAAAGTAAAAAGTAAAAAAAAAAAATGTACAGATTGAACTAAAATAGTCTGAGCTGTAAGCTATATGCTGAAACAGACACTATACTGTGTACAGCTGCAGTTACGTAAAAAGATTAATGTAAAAAGAACAAGCAAATGCACAAACGTTTGAGCAACTGATCAAATATGAGAAAAAGATGCAACAAAAACAAGAAACTTTGAGTGAAGAAGATGAAAGGAAAGAAGGTTAGATTGAGATCAAATTAATCCAAAACTTCTCAGATGTCCCAACATATTTAAATAAGAAAAGTCGATTTTGTTGTAAAACTGAGGATATGCCCATATTTGGATTGTCAAACTAGTTACAAAATCTGTATTAATCTGAAATATTGAGCAATACTGGGTATAAAGGGATCATAAAGTCACAAGAAACCAGAATGCATTTTTATGAACAAAAGGGAAAAAAGAATCAACTATGACTCGTGTCATTACAGTACATCACACCACACAATGGTCATGTAGGGGGGTCTTAGTGCCTTAGAGTGCCTATCAATTATACTTGGACACATAATGGCTGCAACACCACTGTGATATTTCTCGGGGCCTTTTATAATCTTACAATATGACCAAAAGGCTTTCAGCTCAGAAACTATAGCAGCTCTGAGTTGTGACTCTTGTATATTTCCTGCTGAAAATCTGATTGAGCGACCACAGTTATTACCACAGAGCTTTAAAAGGGGGTAGCTCACAATCCTATGGTGTGACTGATTGCTCCTGGAATCTCTTTTTTTGTTTTCAACCCTGATGTATTTGACAGTACTGCCAGAACTTGACTTTAGTCCAGAAAATGTTTTACTCATTGCCGTGGGAACATAATGAAACAGTATAACACATACAAATCTTTGTGTTTGCRCTGATGTGTTGAGATTTTCAGTTTAATTGGTACCAATCACAGTTCTTTGCCTAAATGACCTGACTAATTTATAGAAAATAAATGGATGCAAATGTTATCAGGGACATTAGGGCAAATTTAGTACACTTTAAAACAATGCAAGTACTTGCTGAGCCTAAACTGTGGCATTGGTCTAATAAGACAATGCTGAAGTGGATGCAAGACCTATAGAAAATTATGCCTGATTTTTTTKGAAACTTAAGCTCATACTGGACATTGCAGGAAGCGTGCCTTTACTAACACTACTGCAGTGTTGAGCTTAATAATAAGCTTTTGTCATGGTAATAAACACCTGTTTATTGCAACACTGAGGTTAACAGGTATATTTGTGTTAGAAAGAAAGCTGTGGGTGTCTGCACCTTTTAAGCACTTTTAAGAAAGTTAATGTTCACTTTTAAAGAATGACTTGATGGTTCTGGTAACAGTATAATTTCAGTGCTCACAGACTTGGCAGTGAGTAGATCCCATTACTTATCCAGCCTGTGTATGAATTGTGTAATTTTATTTATAGAGTTTTATATATGTTTTTAAATACATTTTTACATCTTTGTGTGTGTGTGTGTTTTAATGTAAATATGGGCGTAAAGTCTGCAATAAAGTTTGAAGAGGAATACAAAATATCTCATGATCAGGAAAGGTTCGACTTATCCCTGGTTCACACGGCAAGATTTTAACATTTTTTGGTTGATTTTCAAAACCTCAGAACACACATGACGGTAGGACAAAGACAACACACCAACAGATTTTACTCCCCAACATTCAGACGTCAGACAGGAAATCAGACGTAGATCAAACGTAACTTCAAATAAACAAACATGGCCGACAAGAAAGAAGCGATGGTCATAGTTTGTGGACTATTTTTAACTGAGAATAAACAAATACACCAGACTTTCTGGTGAACCATGGTARTAGTTTTGTCTTTTGGATTCCTCAAAGAGTTTGTCACATTTTTTTCTGATTGGCTACGCGTCACATTCAGACTTTGAGCTCATTTGTCCTCTGGGAACACCAAAATCTAGAATATTGGGCCAAAACAATCCAACATGTTGAGTATCATTTAATGTTGGAGTGGTAAAAACATCTTTCTGAACAGATTAGATCACTTTTAAATCACCACACACATCAGAAATATCTCCTAAGATTATCTTTAGAGCATCACGATAACTGGGGCTTCCTTTAAGGCTCGGTAATAGTCGCACTTTGGATAGTCGCGGAGTGCGCGTGTGCGCCCTCGCCAGCGGGAGAGGTGTTTATACTTGGCACTAATGTTGTAGCAGGTTTCTCCAAAAGGACACGTGGAAGTACACTTTATAACTTGTGAAATGTTGTAAATAGGAGAGCAAAAGCACGATGAACAAGCATGCTGTTTGAATGATGCGCGGAGCTTCAAAATYTCAGGGGTGCACAACCATGCGCTGGGACACTGCGAGGGGCCAATGCGCGGGGGCGGGGATGGTGCAATTGCATCACTTTTGACATGCACCCCCTCACACCGGGTGCGACACGTCAACCATTAACCAGGCTTAGGATTGTCAAAAAGGGAAAATTGGGCCAAGAATCTGCACAATTATCCTCATGTGGTAGATATCTGAACAGTGTTTTAGAACTCCTTATCAGAATTATATTTAACATCAGCCAAAACCTGGAGGGGGGACATTTTATGCAACAATGTTTAAAAAAAACACTTTTGTACAATACCTAGACTATGGTTACTATTTTCAGTATTAGCTCAGTACAGCTATTTCTTTTTGAGCTTTGAGGAGTCGGTAAAAAGCTGTGATCAATATTCTTACCCAGAAAAGCCATGACTAAAAATCTATGCATCTGCCCTGCAGCTTGCCTGAAAGTAGGTGCCTCTGATTTCCCAGCTAACTCTGCATTATTAAACATCTAATCCCATCATCCCATCCCATCAACACCAATATAAATATGCATGAGAAGCGTCAATCAGGATGGTTTCATTTGTAAAACTTGATTATGTGACGGTAATTACAGCCAATCTGAAAACTGAAAGAAAAACTGCTGCAGTCCTCGGTGACTTTATTTTGAATGAATTTTAAATAGAGTTAGGTTCGTGGGGGCATGAAGAAGAAGCTCCCTGGGTGTCTGAGTCATCCTTGATGGCATTTCTGGGATGTAAGTCAGGTCTGAGGGGAGCAGAGTGGCTGGAAACACATTAGTCAAATAAGATCCTTAATGCAGAGCGTGAAACTGGACAGAAAATGTCGAGGAGGAGGAGGAGGAGAGAACGTGCACAAATTTACTTATCCTAGAAAAGTTATACCAATCAACGCCACACACTTCAGCTGGGCTGAAGTGTCCCACACACACTTACCAAAAACATGCACTTATCCCACTCTCATAAATGCAGACATTGAGAAAAAAAAAACTCCACAAYGAAGCAAGAAAAACAGACAAAACAAAGGCTTCCTGTTCTCATCACCTTTCTTTATGGGTTTTAACCTCTCTCTATTTAGTTCACCTCTTTCCTACTTGTCAGTTTTAACAGTTGCTCAAACACTTTAAACGAGGACACATTTGAAACACTTCTCTCTTCATTATCCCACACAAGCTCTCATTACAGTCAAAATCATCCGCAATCAATTTCATAGCAAAGTTTAGATTGTTTTTCCCCTCTCAATCTCAACTTTATTGTAATTCAAGCACTTGCTGTTAAAATTTAAAAAGGCCACCTTTACATGTGAGGCTCCACAAAACGCCTTAATGTCTGCCTCCTGCAGGGATTTAAGTATGATCACGCTCACTTTATACACACCAACTGCTCTCTAAATGAGCAGACAGACTTCTCTTTTAATGTTTCCTTGGTGCACTCTCCCATCAATGGCCTCATTTTTCCCCCTTCCCTCCCCCAGCTCCTTCAGCTTCCACCCAGTGTTCTTTCTAGCCATCTTTTCACTCCTCATTTCCTCTGCTTCTCCAATATTCATCTGTTTCTCCTTAATTCCACTAAAAGATTGGTCCAAGTATTCAGATCACGCTTCATGTTACTGCATATGATTCAGCTTTCGCCTCTGTCCAGCGGTATTCCTGATCAGTTAACTAACCAAAACTTGTTTTTTTCTTTAAATCCTTCTCAGAATTCTGCCATCAACCAGTGACCGTTTCCTGTTGAAGAACTTGGTTTCTGGTGTGGACTACAACCTGTGTGTGCTGGCCATCTTCGACGACTCGATCACATCGTTAGCAGCGACTAAAGTCCTAGGATGCACGACGTTCTCCACCAAGGACGTTTACCCAGCATGCCGCTCTCTTCAAGCCCACTTCCTTGGCGGGACACTCACCATTTTGGTCGGCGGCGTGGTCGTGGTCACGCTGCTCGTGTTTACCGTTGCGCTCATGGTTCGCCACCGTGTTTGCAATCACGGAGACCACATGATGTGCCACAGCGGCAACACTGAGGCGGGAGGCGGGGCCTGCTGTCAGGGTGGAGGAGTGGGAGTTGGGGATAAAGGGGGCAACGGCGGTGGGTGCTACCAATCAAATGGCTCCGGTGACATGATGATGGTGGTTCTACCCAATGGCCTGCCCTCTAAAAGGGGAGGAGAGGCGGGGAAAGAAAAGGACAAGGAGAAAGAAGCAGATTCTGCATCCCTCGTCCCTCCAAAACTGCCCCCAAAGCCCAGGGCAAAGCCCAAAGTCAACCTGGAGCAGTTTTTATCTGCTGGGGGGGTGGTTTCCACAACAACAGCATCAGGAAGTGAGATGGCGCTGGTCGTGAGGCAAAGAAAGGCATTGCCGCAAAACCTAGAGAGTGACAGAACTCCCCTGTACTACTCCCCTTCTCCTCCATCTACACTGCCCCGACAGTCACGTTCCAGGGACCGCCCAAATCCCCGTCTGGAGCGAGAACTGACAAACCGAGCCAGCTTCTCCCTGGCTGCGCCCCTGAGAGACTCAGAGATGCTGGACTGGAGAATCACACCCAGAGCTAGGGACAAATGGAACTCCTCGCAGGCCTATCAGAGTCCTGAATCCCCTCTAGGCCCCGCCTGYGGGACGATTGGCAAACGGCGGCACTCGCTAGACATGGGCTCCTCTGTTGCTCTGGCAACTGACGCCGCCGCAACCGTCGCCAGGCGCTACGGCGCCGTGAGCTGTGCCAAGCGTCTGAGCGTGATCTGGACCAGACGGAGCCAGTCGCTTCATGGGATGCTGGTGCAGTGCGCGTCCACCACGAGCACCACCTCCTCCACGACCAGCGACGAGGGCGAAGGCGGCGAGAGCTTYGGGGGCCAGGATTTCAAACGGGGATACATCCACGCTTACAACACCACTAACTCTAACTCAAACATGGGAAGTACAGCTGGGAATGCCAAGGAGCGGAGCAGGGAGGCAGGGAAGGCTGAGGATCTGGAGGAAAGTGTTGTATAGTAGGTGTGGAGGAGAAGAAAAAAAGGGAAAGAGTTCAGTGACAGAAAAGTTCGAACAGCAAAAAAAAAAGAATAATAAAGAAGGCGAAATGAAATATGAGGCAACCAGGAGCAGGAAGGTGAGCTCAGAATGAGGGAAGAAAGTCAAATTGGGACACAACCAAGTTCTTTGCCTGGCAGGAAGTTTAGAAAAATGAGGGGATAGAAGAAAAAATGCTACTGAAAGTGAAAATTTTATTTTAATTACATCCTTCAGGCTCAGCTGTAAAAAGAAAAGTAACAAAAAAACTTAGCTTAACGCAGAAACGGTCAATGCCAGTGGTATCATGGCTGCACAATATTAGAGAAACATGTAATTGTGACATTATTTAAACCCATGTTTTGCTCAGTCTTCTCTTTGATCATCACAGTGCTCACAATGCTCAGTAATTTTAGCATTTTGGCCACAATCATCACTCAGCACACAACAGTCTATAATTTATTGCTGTCCAAGCAGTCCTTTGATAATGTGATAATGTTGGTGATATTGCAATGACAAAAATTTGTTTAAAAAAGATATTGTGCAGCTGTCAGTGGTATGAAGTCAGACAGGTTTGAAGTTAACTTGGATCCTTGTAAAAGCCTTGATAAAACCAGAACTACACACTTCAGTCCTCCACAGTCCTCTCAGCCGTCATCATGAGGATTTATACTGGATCAAAAACAATTCCACTACTAGTAATACTGGAGAAAATTGCCTTTTACAAAGAAAATGGTGAGACAATGTGTGGATGGAAAAGCCTAACTTTCCCAATTAGTGCTTCTGGCTTGGACCTCCATGGCCCTTATTCTGAAACTCTGTCTGAAATTCATTGAATGTGACTCGTGTGTCCTTCGTGTCTGGACAAGGATTTTGGCTGGCTGTGCCTGTGGATTATGAGAGCATAAATACAGAGCCCGGTGCAATGGACATGATCAATCGATACAAACTGGGAGGTGGGGGTGAAGCCGAGCAGACATTATTAAAAGAAAAATATTGGGATCACCATCGAGTCAATATGGATTACAAAATGGAGACGAGAGGATGATGGAACATATGAGTCCATCCATTTCTGAAAGACAAAATCATACTGCATGTCGGATAATGGAAATCAACGAATAATGCTAATGGGTGCATAAGTGAGTGTGCATTAATGGAACAAAGACCAGATGTGTATCCGGGTGCACAAATGTATTTGAATGTCTGTGAGGGGCCAATCCAGTCAGACTGTTGATGTATAAATGTCTAGTGCTTTCTGGACATGCTTACGAAGTAGGAATTTGCACATTTATGATTAGAGGTGGTCTATACAAACTGAAGTGCATTGTTTAAAGGCTTCGAAGGCAGCAGTGTTAGATGGATACATTCAGTAACAGCATGGTCAGAGAGAACCGATTGGTAAAGAAACATCAAAATTTCCAACTCATTTTGTGCAACTTTAGACTTCTTCGTGCCACATGGGTTCAAATGTTCAAAACCAAACTGATGAATGTCAGAAAACAGGAGAAAAAAAGAACAGAATCCTCATGGAGGTCGCCAACAACTAAAAACATCTTTGGAAGATTCTTATGGACTACAGAGACTCAAACTATTGAAGAAAAAAAAAAACAAGAAAACTTGAAAGTACATATATATATGGTCTATATATAAAATGTTACTTGTTGCACCACGTGTTTCTGTTTTTCAGTTTTCTGGGGAATGATTTTGGGATCAGACACAAAGTATGAAATGTGTGATTTCTGTTCATTCCTTACATAAAYTATGATTCATGGTCAGAATAAAAAGTGAGGATAAACCAAGCTCAAAGGACAATGAATAAGCACAAAAAAATAAAAAAATAAAAAAAAAAACAGAAAACATCCCAACACACTGACTTAAACTGATGCCTAAAACCAGACTTAATTCGATTTATATTGACGACTTTTACTCATTAATGTTGTTMCTTTTGTTTTCATTTCATTTTGCCAAAGTGAAAAATGTTCTCTGGACTTGATATAAATAATAAAAATTACACGAATGGAACAACGAGTGACTGATTACCATAGTCATAAGGTAGTGTAACATGTTTGTGTGCGTTTGTTTACAAATGTACTTTTTACACACAATATGTGCTGATCTGAAAATGTATATAAAGAATTCAAACTATRTTTTGCTGTGTAGTTTCGTAAATCACAAAAAGAGTCCTTGCTCTTAAAAGCAATTTATCTGGGCCTAAGGCAAACCTGTAAGGGAAATGGGAACGAGACAAAATTTAAATTTACTTCTAAATAGCATTTTTAGAAAAAAATGAGCATCAAATGAAGGCAAACAAAAACAGGCTTACTAAACAATTTCCATTAAAATATCTAATAATTTTCCACATGACGTGGTTTATTTTCAGGCCATATCTGAAATCAGAATACTGACATTGACTGTAAAGGTTTATTGGATGGTTTGTAACCCAGTGACTAACATGCAGGCTATATTCTTGCCAAATATTTGCTAGAAGATTGCAGCTCTCGGTGCCACAGATGAGCTATGACCAAACCGGTGCACAGAATCTTAAACAAGCTGCGAAACAGTGAGCAACACATTAAACTGACAAAATCTCTGATCAAAGAGGAAGTAAACCAACAGAGCTGCAGATGCTGATGTTACTGACATTTAACACAATCAGTATGCATGTRATGAATCCCACTGGCTCCCTCTTTTTTTCCCTGTTTGTGGGTTTTTAAATCGGCAACTATAAAAACAAAGATAATGATGTTTCAAACATTTGATTTGATTTATTTATTTAACAGGAAAATATTATTAAAAATCAAGCCTGACTCAGCATAATTGCCATTTTACAGCAGGTTCCTGTTCTGCAGCACATTAAACACTCAGAATTGCAGCATCACAATCACATCATTATACACCATAGACACAAAGACAAACAAGCATACCAAATTTCAAAAAGGCAGCATTTGCAAAATAGGACGTCTAAATATGAGCACAACAAGAAGTGTCCAGCAGATGGCAGACAAGATTCTTCTTAAAGGGCTGTAGTAATGGACTGGACTTTATGTTTTGAGGAATGTCATTCCATGCTTTAGTATAAACATAGAAGAAAGACCTCTGGCCAACGGTTTTTAAAGTTGGCAATGTCAGTTGTCCTTTTGTAACAGATCTAGTTGAATGACCACTTCCAGAATTTGATTTGGGCARCAATGCACAGAGAGTTCCATAATTGGCACCTTGGAAGATCTGAAAATATAAATTAATACCACTATACAAAACATAATTCTGAAAAGTCAAGGCATCAGACAATGAAAGAACTGTACAGTGATGAGTCCAACCAGGAAGTTTTTTATGAATTTTGTAGGCCCTGTTGTAGAGCCTAACTATGGGTTCTAAGATTTCATTTGTTGTAAGAGACCAAACAGGTAAACAGTACGACATGGTTGAGAGTATAATGGCATGAAGATAGATATTTGAAACAGAAGATGTCAGACTGGATCTAATTTTTGAATAAACGTATAATTTCTGTTTCAACTTAGTGGTTAAGACTTGTACATGATCACGATAAGTCAAATGAGAATCCAAAGTAATTCCAAGATATTTGTAGGTAGTGACAATATCAAGGGGTTTGTTTAAAAAAGTGAGTTGATTTGTTATATTGAAATGTCTCCTGGGTGAGGAAAAATACATGCACAGTTTTTTTAACATTAATTGACAAAAGATTATCTTGAAGCCAACCATGAAATGTCTGAAGATCTGCTTGTAACTGACTATTAATAGCTTCAATATTGAAACCAGACAAAAAAAGAACAGTATCATCAGCATACATTAAAATATTTGAATACTTCAATATCTTTGGAAGGTCATTTATGTATAATAGGAAAGGTTTTATGTGCTAAACGAAGCATGAGGTTGATGTCACGCTAACTATATATTTTTTAATAATGTAAAAAATGTCATCTGTTTGTTTAAGAGATATAATGTAAAATATTTTAGATTAAATTTTTTCTTGTAGAAATCTGCCATCTACAGCAAGTAAAAAAGTGCAGACGCTTTATTAGGCCTGTTGTGATAAGCAATAAATCTACTGATCGCACAACAAAATGAGGACAATTTGTGAGGTAGATAATTTTCATTTGCCTGCTTGTTTTTTGTGTTTCCCTCTTTTCTACTCCTTAACGTAGGGAGGAGAGAACTCAGGCGTCAGGTATTTAACAGGTGTATGGTCTCTAACCTCTGCAGCATGAGAGCTACATGAACAGGTATTTAGCTAGAGGAGCATCTTCAGTTTTCTGACATCACCTTTAAGCTGGCGACATCTCAGGATGCCATCAGGGCACCGTGCTGAACCTTGGGTTTGCCAAGAGTTGTTGTTTTTTTAAACTACGTAAATTTAGTCAACTTCCATAAACGTCCTAAGCTGTATGCGGGTGACCATAATTATTTAAAAAAGCCAGAAGACAATGAATAAATTGTATCGGCTTATATAGAGGTAAGTAGCAATGATACAGCTTCAGTAGTTGTTGCATGTTGTTTTAAAAAACTCTTCTCCTGGTCAGTCCGTAAATTTACAAAAATTTTGTAAACTTCGTAAGAAGTGACCACAGTTATTTTACGAAGTCAGAGGACAACAGGACAAATTGCATTGGCTTGGATCGAAGTGGGTAGGGATGTTAAAGATTCAGTAGCTTTGCATCGATTTCAAAAACGCCATTAGCACTCCATGCACAACTTTATGGAAATTTTGTAAATTTTCATAAGTTATGTAAGCGGTGTGAGGGTGACCAGTTATTTCATACAGCCAGAGGAAGACACATACAAAAGAGTTTATATTGGTTTAAAATGGTCAAGCAATATCATTGGTCACAACAATTTCTGAGACAATATATCGTCCAACAAAATTTGTTATCATGATGGGGCCTAGTCACTCATTTTCCAGGTCTGGATAAGTAAATTCTTTATTTTTCAGCAGCATGCCGAAACCCTTCTAGAAATAAGGAAGGAAGTTTCAAAAGCACATGAAAAACAATGGAAACTGAATTTAAACAATTTCAAACATCAGAACCAAGTACAAGAGCTGAACAGAGAGAGGAGAGAAGTAAAAGCTGTCAGACTAATGGGTCGTGAATCTTGTTACTAACCATATCCGCTGGTCTCACGCAGTCTAAACTAATTTGTTATGGTATCCTTTCACTGGTACCTGCAAAAACCGGCAGCTCAAAATGCATCCATATGAACTCACTGGTCTCATACACTCAGAATTCAGCAGGAATGCAGCAGAAAATTTGCCTATTTTCTTGCAATTTTGAGCCACGGACTGGTCTCCAACAGTTACAGATACTACTGGAAGGTACCGCCATCCATCATCACACCAGCTGTGACATCCAGCTACTTAAACTCTTGAGGACTTTCAAGTCCAGAACTGAAACAATCTCAGCACATGCTTGGTTTACTGTTTGTTCTTGTTCTAGCTAGACAAAAAATAAAATAAAATAAAATAAAAAATCTGAGMGTTTCAGGGAACTGAGTGCTTAATGTCTGTTTATTCAGATCTGCATAAAAAGTCATTTGTACTTTGATCAAATTTTAGAATAAGTGTCCTTAAGTAGAATGAGGCTTCAGATCTTGGATAACTGGAAGAGGAGAGCAAAAAAATATATATTTTACTCATCCTCTCTTTCATGTACCTCTCCTCTTGGATGTCTTTACTCTCTATTAAGTCCTTTGAAGATGAAGCTAAACGTCCAAGATGGAGAGTGAGCGAGAGAGGGAGTAATGTGTGAGTGTTGACACAACTAGGGAAAGACTTACAGATGAGRAAGAGGAAAGAGGGCAAAGTCATTATGTTTAATTTTAGTTAACTCTGGCCTCTGGACACCCACAGCTGAGTGTGCATGTTTTTGAATGTGTTCAAACAAATACTGTGTGGTCGGATGAAAATGTGTGGGCGGCCATCTATTCATTTTTTTTTTTAAATCAGTCGAATATTTTCAGAACACAAGTCTGACCATATGAGGAGAATGCAGACAGCACAGTGAAAAAATGATGTAATGTAGGAATAGTTCACAAAATACAATTGGTCAGTACAAAATGAACAGACGTCAGTGGTTAGTGTGAAGCAACTGTGTGAATTGGTTGATCCAAAWGTTTTAGAGAACCTAAAGTGAACATATGCTTTTTTTAAATCCTCCTTTTCCAAATTTAAATCTTTCAGTTGGAGTCTATATAAAGTGRAACTGCAATGCTTTGGTCTAAATTCCTCATTGTAACTCCACAAGCACCGCCCCTTTTCTGAAGCATGTCTGAGATCAACTCATTTTGAGGCTGTCTCTTTAGCATCAGAAGAAACTAAATATAAGTTTTCTGCACTCCTGAAGACTCCAAGTACACAACAAATTGCATTGAACGGCTAAAAAGTGGATTTTGAATGACATGTCCCCTTTAAACCATGTGTAACCACCTCAGATCATCTCCTTTTATACCAGAAACAGTCAACGAGATGAAAGCTCTGTGTTTGTCCACCATCACGTCCAGGAATGGTTCTCAACACCATTAGATGTCATGTTTAGGGTCATCGCTCTGATGTGGCATAAATTTAAAAACAAAGGTTTCCCTGATTGCACTGCATGAAACACAAATATCAGCTTGTATTTCTCGTTAACTAAATATTCTACTCCATTTTAAAAAAACACAGGGAACCTCAACCACGTCTTTATTGTGCTGTTCTGTCCCTTTAACAGATATTTCAGATTTTAAATCATTAAATAAGAGCACCTGCTGCTGTCTTCCTGCACCTCGATTTCTTATGTTTTTGTGCTGAGTTGACTGGTTTTGTTGCTTTGTCACGGTTCTGTCAGTTCTGAGCTGACGGTAATGACCGACGTCCGATTGTGAAGGGAAGTGAGCATGACGTCCTTCAGTTGCTGCATCACGTTCCTTAGACCAACTGTTGCGTCTATGGTCCTCAATGTCTGGATCTTTTGGTCTCTTGAAAACAACTTGAAAAGCACATCTTGACACCTCGGTGTACTCCACAATCATTTCCTTAGAGAAACATTTCTGATGTCGTGTAATAGTAGTATAGTTTCTAACCATCTAGTGTCCTTTAGCTGTACTCAGCTTTACCTCTGTGAGATATGAGACTATTTTGTTGCAGAGTTTGGCTGC